AAATAAAATTTATATCCATCATTGAACCTTAATATTTATCCATTTCAATAGTTTTATTCCAAGAATTTCATAATTCGTTGATGGATATTTTATTTATAATGTTAAAGGAATTTTAGGAATATCTCAAATATAACAAAAAATTTTTATAACAATGAATTTGTTATTTCTTGATATATTGTAATCTAAAATTGATAATTTTTAATCGGATAGTTTTGAAATAGAATTTCAATTAACTATAAAAGGTATTAATTTCATTTGATCAAATTCCAACATCAATTTGATTTTTGTTTTAGATTTTTAATTTGAAACTAACTCAAATTCTTTCTGTTAATCATTTGATCATACATAAAAAAGATATTTGCAAAAAGTTTTTTTTTTATTTACAAACTAATAAGATTTTGTTACTTGCTTTCTTTAAAACAATTTGAAGTTGATCTTCAAGAAACACTTTATTTTTTTTCTTATTTATCAATAATACAAAATTTTTAAAAAAGTTTTTTTGATTGATCTGTAATTTTTTTATTTATTAAAAATATTATACGGTTTTTTGATAATATATGATAATTAAAAACAATTTATTTTATTATTATTATTATTATTATTTATAATTTTTTTAAAAAATTATTTTTATTAATTATAATTGTATTATTCATATTATTCAATAGTTAAATTATTATTGAATTTGATTAAATTTATTAATAAAATCACAAATAAAAAAATTTTAATTGATATTATTTAATATATAAAATATCAAATAAGTATATTTTTAAATTTAAAAGGAATAGATCTCTTAAATTTAAATAAATATAATAATAATTTAAAAAAAATTTTTTTATATAATTAATTTTTAAAATTTATTATAAAAATTATAAAATCATTTAATCAAACTATTTGTTATTTTTTTTAAATTAATTATTATTATTTATAATAATTCTTTTTAATTATAGATTATTTTTTATTAATAAAGTCTTGAGATTTTTATCAAAACAATTTAAAGATATTTTTAAGAATTATACTTATTTTTCTTTTCTTATTTACAAATATTTTTGATCTGAAATATTACTTTTAATTATTAAAAAAAGTTAAATAAATATATTTAATATTAATATTAAAAAAGTTTTTTTAAAAAAAAATCAATTATAAAATATTTAAAAAAAAAATTTTTTTTATATTTAAGAATTACAAAGTTCAGTTACAATAAATTATAGTTACAATCATATATAAAGAGATTTATCTATATACAAAGCTATTTTATATATATTAAACTTATTTATACAAGTTCATTTTATGGTAGCTTATAAAAATCTTGCATCATAAAAAATTTAAATGTCAAATCTGATTAACCAATAATAATTAGTATTTAAAGTAACCAATCAAAATTAAAATTGATAATCTATAAAAAATATATTTTTTTTATTTTTAATTACATTCTGGATTTTTTAAAATCAAATCCATTAGAAACAAGATTATCAGATTATTTTAGAAATATAAAATTAGTAAGGTAATATAAGCCGAATTCGAGATTTTTAAAAAAAAAAAAGAAACTATTTGAATTGCAACGTCATTCTTATGGTTTTATCATAGGTTAGATGAAACCTCTGTGTACTATTGAAATCGTATTCCATGATAAATCACTAAATGTACTCATTCAGTTAAATATGTACGTAATTTCTTTGGTTCCAATATATAAAGAAAAAAATATATTGCAGAAAAAAAAGAAAAAAAAAAAAAACTTTTATGTATATATGCGTGCGAAATGGTATGCATATTAATTCCCACCTACACCTTACAAATATGTAATGGTGTTTCATCCCACAAATGTTCGATTTTTTTTTTATAATTTTTTAGCTATGGTACAGAAATAATTGTTTTATATAGTTCTTTCCCGCATTTTCCTTCCCCCGTTTTACCTTTCTATGTAATTGTAAAATTATTTCCAAAGGTGATATTCTAGGAGCGACGAATTGGACGAACCAGCATATTTCGTGAACTTTTTAAATTGTGCTTTGATCGATAAGGCGACAGCCGAATTTGTTCAATAGATCTTGAAATGCTGTTGTCCTGGATATGGTCAGGATCTGCGAATTAATTAAGGGATTAATATCAGCGAATAAATGAATACAATATATTCAGTCGAAAGACTCACAATTATATTTACATTCGGATTTCCCGTTTTGTTCGGTAAACTTGGATATCGTGGCCCTTTCGTTCATCATAGATTGAAGGGCCATTAGGATGTTTCTCACATTACTCCAATTAAACTTAACGCCAACATATATTAACAATAAAAGAGCAAGGGCTGAACCCAATTTTTTGGCCAAGATAATCTAAATTCAATTTCCAGTGTGGGGTGTTAGTAGTGGAAAGACGAAATTTCTTTAGGGATGCGTAGTAGGTTAATGATCGATTAAAGTAAATCTTACTTGGTTGACTAATAATTGGGTTCTTGCGTAAAGATCTTTCAATTCTCTGTCAAAGCTGATCAGATTCCTGTCTATACTTAGTATTGCCGAATTAAGTTTTCCCTCGTAATTGTTTTTCTGATTGATGAAAACGAGTTATTGATGATTAGAAATGATAATAAAATTAGAGAATGTAAGAATCCACTAACCATCAGCTCCGCGCTCTCGTTGAATTGATTAGCGATTGTTATTTGTTGTATCTGAGTTTTCTCGATCATCGAGGCTATGTCTTTGAGAATTTTGTTTTGCTCTTCTATATGACGTTTAGACAAATTTGCATTCGATTCAAGCAGGGATAAACGTTTCATTATAGTTTTGAAAATGCTCTCTTGTGTGCCTCCATTTGAGATAGGACGAGTGAAGCTAGCTTGGTCGTGGGTCTGTGATGAGATTGTTGGGTTTTTGGTTGAGGGTGTTGGTGAAACCGGACTGTTTCGTGTGGTACTACTACTTTTTCCGTGTTTATCATGTTTCCGTTGTTTCCCGTTTGTAATGCCGGATGGTTTCGTTTCAAAGTAGATGTCAAATTTCGTTGGGTAAACTGAGCATTCATCTTTCAAACAAATTCCAGGGGAAAGTAGGGATTCTACTGGGTATAAAGTAATTGGTAATGTGGTTTCCCTTCGTGAAAGAGATTTCGCCGGGCAAAATTCATGTTCAATTTTCCGTCGAGTTTCTTTGTTCGGGCAAAATCCAGTGTGAGATTTTCCATTCGGCTGATATGCAATAACATTTACTGAACTGGGATCATTGCAATCCGTGTCAACAGAAACATCCATTGGATATTCCTTGATTGATGGAACATCCGACTTTGTCACCGTTGTCGGAGAATGATCCTCATGTACGTCAGCGGCGGTATGAGACTGATTCGAAACATCGTCGGTTTCATTTGCTTGCCCGACTTCGTCAACTTGTTGGTTGACTTGTGGTGATTCAATTTCCTCTAGCTCTCTTTTAAATTTATCATACTCATTTGAGCCATGCACCCGAAACAAACTCACAGGGCAATAATGTTGATGACCATAATGTGAGTCAAAGTCAATGCGAAGATATCTCGCAAACATTATTGGATTCTTAATTGAGAATACCTATAAATGGTGATTGAAACCATAACAGAGATGAATGCGAATTTTCAAGTAATTTTTTTTAGAAAGCCGACACCATAAAAAAAACACATCATGATTACAAAGTAAACAAACCTGAATCTCTCTTAAATTTTTCGCGGTATATTGTCCTAGCAGTTTCCAGCCTTCCTTGGGAGGATACCAGTTACTAATCGAAATCCGAAAATCCTTAAAAGTAGAAGAAAAAAATTCAAAGTTCGCCAGAGCCACATATTCGATCAAGATGTCTTCACATAATTCCAATTCGACGAACTTTGTAGCTGAGCATTTGTTAAGGACATAGGTGTCTTTGCTTTCGGAAAGAATAGCGGTGGCACCTTTTGCCTCTTTATTTGCCTTTAGAACGATAGCCCCGCAGTCAAATGAGGCAAAGTTAAATCGTTCTTTCAACTTTGATATATCTGGACTTTCATACTGTGAAATAAATCCTTGAGAATTGTTATTCTCAAATACGGCACCAATGTCACCCTCACCGTCGAGCGATTCGATGGCATCATTTGAAGGGCTGTTTGGTCTCTTCTTTTGCCTCGATTTCGATTCGTTGGATCCTTTGTCCTGAGCTTTCCACTCCTCAAGCGATAACACTTTATTTGACTTGGGAGATGATATCTCGTTAACAACGGACTTTGATCTCTTTTGTTTGCTTTTCATAGGACTCTTCCTTGATGCTGTGTTAGTGATCAAGGTTTCTGTGCTGGTCAGAATCGAAGTTGGCGCATGGATTGTCTTTGAATCTATCAGACTCTGACAATGAGTGTTTGCCCAAATCATGGTTTGCAAAGCCGAAGCTCGACATTCTCCATAATTCACCTTTACGGGATCCATCGTGTGCGTTGAAGACAAGAATGGACTAATGGACATGATCACAAAATTCAAAGTTGACCAAAATCCTGACCACCACATTTTATTGCGTTAATTAATGATGATTATAATATATGATCATGAACCGTTTTTAGTTGGGAAACGGAATAAAGATTATATTTGTATAAAAAAAAAAAAAAAAACGACAAATATGAAAATGAAAGAGATGTGGTTAAGCAGATAAAGGAAGACGGTGATTAGAGTCACCTCAGATATATTTATGATAATCTTTTTTCCGATTTGAAAAAACAATTGTTTGTAAACGCAAAAAACAACATGCCCAGTAATTATTTTATTAGTACTGTAAGTGCATGTGATCTACATATTCATCTGATTGAGTGTATGTTTTTTCGATAATATCAAATGTGATTTTTTTTTTTTTTTTACACTAAGGAAATAATATTCATGTCGAAAATTAGAGTGACCACTCCCGATGTCAGCTATTTTTAGTGATTTCTTTGTCTCTCTTTTCTTTTATGCATACCGAGAGCGCGAGAAATTCTCTCTAAGACTGCATCTAGATTGGGCATCACAGCATAAAAAATTTTCATAATTCGAGAATGTATGCTGATTACGTTTAAGGTTTCCGATAATTACAAAAGGAGAATAAACGGCGAGTCGGGTGTATGCACGATTCGTGAGTTCCGGATAACTTGATGTGATAATTAATTTTTGTCAGTTTATTTATTCTACCGAGTAGCTTTGTATGCGTGCCGCCACATTATCATTGTAAAGTAAAATGTGATTATCACGAGCCCAGTGATTTTAGGAACACGTGCACATCCTTCTTGGATTACTTTGGCGTCGTTAATATCGGGAATCCTTTCGTTACGTATGATGCGCACCGACAAACGTAATTAATTAATACCCAGGTGCTTAAGGATGATGCAAGCTTATTTCCAACGATTAAGATTAGGCTGTTGGTGCGCCAAATTAGGCTGTATCACAAATTTTTACTATTTTATTTAAGCATCGAGTTCTAACTCTAAAGTAAAGATGACGAGACCTTTACGTTTTCAAGTTGTGGATTCTCCCAACAAATAAAAAGGCGAAGATGAAATGGTGTGAAATTCTTCACTGAAACAGATTTCCTTCGTTGACGAGATTTTTTTCGTTTCAGTTTCAGTACCAGGTAAACATCTCATTATCAGCATAATTTTTTTTTTTGTTCCTTGCCACGTTTTTAGGATTTACAACAAATAAAAGGGTCCATTTCGGAATGCCTTGGAATGGTCACAACAATAATAAGATTACCGACAATGCCTGAATATATTCGAGTTACCCAAATTTGTGGTATCTACGACCGTGTAACCATTGGTAATTAATTGTAGTGTAACTTTTTTAACCAACCATTTTTTCAACTTCTTCTCTCATAAACGATCTTGCGTGTACATAACTTGTTCTTTCCTTACCACACATTACGTTACTGCCTTTATGACTCCGAGAGATTGTCGGCAAAGTGAAACATCGAAGCAACGTAAATAAATGTTCATTGCATCACTTTGTAAACTTTTCTTATTTAATTTAAACTCATCGACTTTTGTAAAATTTCTAAATTTCAATTTTCACTTTTCAGCAACTAAATATCGCCATGTATAAATATTCGGCCTCATCACCAGATATCTCCTTATTACACAACCACAATGCAAGCATTGTAAGCACTCCTTTACCTACGAACGAAAGAACCGATCCCGCTGTCGTTTTAGAGGGTCCCCCGGCTTCTCCGCAATCGCAGAACCCTCCTTCACCAATCTCTGCGAGAAACTCCAAACAAAATTTCTTTTCTCTGTTCAAAAAAAAAGATGGTAATGTTATAAATAATTAGTTCGACAAACCATAACTCTGCACCACCACCCCAGCGAGTGGTTCGTGATCATAGTAGCAAAATGAACACGGCAGAAGAAGCAATAATGTTTCCATCACGTGTCAGTCAACAATTGGTGCTAACAGCGTACCTGATTTTACAGCATTAGGCACCGACATGTCAGATGATGATGATTATGGTGACGATAATGATGCAACAACGAGAGATGGTCCCGCATATAGTGTCCCTGACGGAATATACGATTTGGAAAACAACATTGTCGGGGGTAAAAATTCGACAATTTCTAAAAAGAACGATAAAAGAAAAGGCAGTATAATCTCTCAGAAAGAAGATTTAGGATTTAAGGTACAACCAATTTCATCGATGAACTTTTCCATAGATCAATTCGGAAAATCGTTTTTACCTCTGTTCAACCCATGGCCCATACAAACCTTTACTGAATTCATCTTTTCATTGATCCGAACAGAATACGATGAAGAACACCATGCGGAAAACTTCTACGTTTTTTAAAAAATTCGGTAACAAGGTGAAACAAAAGTTTGACCCCGAGTGTCGTCGTCGTCATCTTTTTTTTTTTTTTTAATGGATAATTATTTACCTTATCTCCTCAAAACTCAGCAAAATCCCGACAACCCTCCTACGAATAATGGCCGCTTGCCAATTCCCGATTTTCAAGATGGTTTCAATTCATCTTCTAACACTCTTTCTAACACGGTGGACACCGACATTCCTCCGGAAGAACCCTCGCTGCCAGAAAAATTGGTCTCCACACCCTTGGGTGTTACCTTTTCAGATAAAATTTTCGTCGGTCGTGAGATTGACGAACAAGACGTTCTTCAAAGGACATTGGAAGATTATGCCTCGGTTTATGCCAACATAAGCGATAATGAGTACGATCACGAAAGTTCTGAGTCCTGTAAAGCTTCCCTTCAAAGCGCTAGTAAGAATGTTGCTAACGACGCTGAGGTATCCTACAGTAAAGGTTTACATCTTGAAAGTGTCAAGACCGAACAACCATCATTGAGAAACGGCCGCGAAAAAGATGACCACGATAAAAGGATCAATGAAAAATCTTTTATGAGTTTACCGGTGATAAAAAGTGAAAAGAAGAGAGTTGAATCTAGAGCAATCATGGAAGAATTATCATCGATAGCCGGTCTACCACGTGTTAAGGAGGAGGATGGTGATGAAAGCAACCACGTTCTCGTTAAATCTTCGACAATCATGAAAAGGGGTGCTGACATTTCATGTGAGCATTCATTGATCGGACAATTTTTTTTTTTTTTTTGTTTTCACTGTTTTCCTCCGTAAAAGAGAAGGTTTTTTCACAATATCACATACGCTCACACATATTTAGTGTCAGGTAAGGATGTCCCTGTTGCAAATCAAGAAGACTCACCTTCGACCTTTCTAAGAACACCTCCGTCAAGTCCCTCCGCAAGAGATGCGGACAGACGCGTAAGCCGAAGTAGCAGCAAGCCGTCACTTCATAGTAGTAAATCCACCACATCCTTATTCACCCAAGGATCTTTGACGATGGAATCCGAACTCGGTTCGTTACGTTCGGCGAACTCGAAACGAAAATCCGCATTGAGCAAGAGCAGCTCGCACAGTTCTTTTAGGGAAAGAAGAGAAGAAGAGGTCACCTTTGATAGAAGAACTTTAAGGGCAAATGTCGATCAACGGGGTTTATTCATTAAACCCAAAAGACCGGAGAGCGCCGAAACAGGTACGGACTCTGGTCTCAGCACAAATAGGATTCCCAAAAGACCGGATAAAAAATTACCGGATATTCCTAAAACCTTGTCAACTTCTAAGGCTGATGTGTTACAATCTCGTTCACCACATATGCGGCAAGCTTCCAGCATTGCTAGTTCTTATTATGAAACTGCCAGCGGTTCAACTGCAACTTTGCACACAGCTCCTCCTTCGCCCATAACCGAAACCAACGAGGGAACACCAAAGATACAAGTCAACGAAATCGGTTCACCTGAAGAATATTACGAAGATGAAATGTCTCCATCAAGCTCAGATAAAATGGGCGACGACGAAGCGATCGTCTTGGAAGCGAGAGATGCTGCCAAAAGGTGCTTCGATGAAGACGAGACATTTATGAAGAAGGAATCAATTGCAGAATTCTTGGGTGGAATGTATGTCTCTCTCTCGTTCATTCGATCAAAATCTCAAGATCTTTTTTATTCACCATGATCCAATTCTTACCATGTCACTTCGTTTAACGCCACAGTAAACCTTTGAACTCTAGAACATTAAAATTCTACATGGAATACTTTGACTTTGCAAATTTAAAATTAGATGTGGCTTTTAGGTTCGTTTATCATTTCGAGCTATTTTTCATAAAGCACTTTCATATATCGCATACTCTTTCTCTCTCGACACAGGCGACTATGCGAGAAATTATATATAAAAGGAGAAACGCAACAAGTGGATCGTATCCTGGAGTCATTTTCCAAACGATACTGGGAATGTAATCCAAAGTCCATCTTTGGGAATTCAGGCAAGTGCATTTATTCTTTAACGGATGCTCATCGATTTCTTGATTAGGCCTTCTCTTTTTCTTAACCGAGGTTTTCAAAAAAAACTCTTCAGATATTGTTCACGCAATTGCGTACTCCATCCTTCTGTTAAATACCGACCTTCACATCGCGCAAGTGTCCAGCAAGATGACACGCGTACAATTTATACGGAACACCATGGCAGCTATTCATGAGGCCAATACAGCACAAACTAGTAACATTGACACGTCCGAAGATGATCGAAGTACCATAACATCCTTGGAGACGAATGCTACGGCGAACACCGTACGTCCGCGTCGCAGCAGCAGCATCAAGAGTTGGCTTAGTAATCCCAATTCAAGTGCGACGAACTTATCATTCACAACGAATAGTTTCTCGAGACAGTGGGAGTTGGAACTAGAGAACCTTCTGAAGGACATGTACAATTCCATAAAGTCAAATCAAATACTACTGCCACTTTTGCAAGATGTCGAGAAACCATCCAGCTCCCTTTCCCCAGGTTTGCACCGCAGTCTTAGTCATTCGGGCTATCAGAACACTAGGCTTAACGCTCTCATGATAAAGGCTCGAAGAACTTCTCCAAGTTCAAGCATAATTAGCGGAGGGAGTGAAGTATGAGCATGCATTTTTTTTTTTTTTTTTTTGGCTTTGCAGCATACCACTTTGAACTAAGTTTGCGTCGCTTCTTCCAGAATGATAGTCAGGTGAGGTCAGGACCGTCTTCACTTTCACTGCGTCACACATCATCGTGTGAGACAGAAATTACATCGACAATAACAGAGGAAGGTGAAGATGACAAAGCTTCAACTACTGATTCCATCGATACTGACGAGTCGTTAGAGTTATATCTGTCCGGTGCTCCATACGCCAAAGAGGGTTTGTTGGTTCGAAAGCATTTCCGAGAATCGGAAAACAAAAGAGCAAAGGATAAGAGTTGGAAAGAGTGCTTTGTGGTTGTCGAAAAGGGTGAACTCCGAATGTTTAAGTTTGATACTCAGTCCTCTCGCGGTTCTACCGGAATTGGGGCAATCGGTGGAGGGAATTGGATGGTAAAATTAAAACTTGGCTTTTGCAACTGGCTTAATAAATGTCCATACATAATTGCAACTAATGTATATCGATTATAGGCGAATGCAACACTCATGGGTCAAATTAATCTTTGTCACACAATTACGAACGCACTACCACCGCCCGGTTACAATCGCGATCGCCCTTTTGTGTTTGCTCTCTTGACACACAACGGTGGCCTCTATTTCTTTCAAGCAGGTACCGCCGAACTGGTAAATGAATGGGTATCGACATGTAATTACTGGGCGGCTAGGTTAAGCAAAGAGCCATTGTCGGGAGGCGTGAGCAATATGGAGTACGGGTGGGGAAGGTGCTTGGAGCAAAGCAATGATGCTGGCAGTGACTTCGATTCTAGAAGCATACTGAGTGAACCCCGTAGCATAATGAGTAATGCTTCAACACATACCAGCGATCGAGTTTTTATCAGTGAGTGGAAAACACCAATACCACCTTCAGTTCCAAGCAATCACGACGAGGTAACTTTTCTTTCTCTCTTGTTTGCAGATGCACATGTTGTTGATCAAAATGCTGATATTTCCTCGCGGCTTAATTCATCTAGGCATCTCAACTAGCAGCTTTGAAAAAATACCGAGACGACCTTGAAAATGAATTGAACGAACACAAGAATTTTTGGGATCCCATGTCAAAATTTGTAATGTTTCCGAGTGCAGACAATATGATTTTTTAATTATGAACAGCTTCAATTAATTTAATCTATATTTTCACGTGTTTTCAAACAGTTTCATCCACGATCTCCAAACCACACCAAAGCTATCGCCAACTGGGAAAAGAAGTCGCAATGGTTATTATACGAAATCGTCAAATACACCACATACATAGAGTGCATTGAAAGTTCTATAGCGCACAAAGCTGAAATGAAAAAAGCCAAAGCTAAAAATGTCGAGATTGCTATAGAAGAATCGATCAGTAATGGCGATGATCTTGAGAGCAACGAAAATGAGCAAGACCGTTTGGAACTAAGGGATCGTGCAAAACTGTTAATTCAAAGAGCCACATGGACTCCAGGTGATGGTTACAGTCTCAATCTCCCAAAAGAATTGTTGTACGATGATGCGGTAGACGATACAGACGATGGTATTATCAATGCCGATTTTATTGGATTTGAGGCGGCAGTGACGGCGGCTAAAAATAGAACCAGCAAGAATAAATAAGCTACGCATCTTTTGCTAGAAACAAAGTCATCTGTAGAGGATCAACCACCAATTAGAAATACCGATAATCTAGAAAGGAAAGATAGATATTTGTAAGGGGGGTCGATTACAATACCGCTCGGGCATATTTCATGACGCAATTGTATATTGGATCACAACTACCTACTTAAAAAAATTATGTAATATTAGTATTCTAAATTCAAACTCAAAAATATAAATTTATTTTTTTTTTTTTTCCTAGTGTTTTTTTCTTGAATGGAGTGTTTCCCTTTTAATCGCAAAATTAAAAACCAATACTTTTCATGTAATAATAGTTTACAGTATATAAAATAAAACAGCTTTATAGCAATGTGACAATTATACAGTATATATACTACCTTTTTCCCTTTAATTGTATATGTAGAAGGCTCAATATGAAGAAAAGGAAGATAAAATTCTTACAATGAAAGTTTTTCTAATACTACATAATACACTCATTGATCAATTATACATCTTTTGAATCTTACAAAATCTTATTATTTAATCAATCACATACGGTATAATAATATCAGGGTATAACATTCAAATTTCGAAATTCGTAATTTTATGTACAACAAAATATCCAGCATCTATTCATATGTAAAAATAAATAATAAAATTAAATACATGTAATTACATATAGAAAATATATACAAAAATGATTGATATTGTAAACGATACACATAACTATGTGAATTTTATCTCATCTTCCTTTCATTCTTTCTCCTTGTGTATCATCGTGATAACTGGTCGTAACCTGATCTGATTATAATCGATTTTTGTAATAGTATATTGATAGTATAACATAATATATTATAAAGTAAAAAGGAAATTTGAAATATTCTAATAAAAATAAAATTGCCATGATATCGAAGCATTTAAATCTTAACCTTTGGATGGGAATGTAATGTAATGAAATGGTATTTTGATAGACCTTATTTTTTAGTTGACAATTGAATCAAAATGTCAATAAATCGTGTTGAATTCATTAAGAATATTACAAGAGATTTGAAAAATTTACAAAATTTAAAATGAAACAAATAATTATTAATCACCACAAAGGGTTCGCTTATTTGCAAAATATGGTTCATGCCTAATATTCTTTTTTTTATCGAAGAACCTTTCCACCACTACCGATTGCAGCAGTTTTAACAAGTTTTGCGGGCGCGGAGCTGGCAGTAGACGATGACCTTATAATTTTTGTATTATTATCATATTTGGAAATTGTGTTAAGTTCTAATCGACGAGAAGAATCGGAAGTTGATTTGACATTTTTTGAGGTGGAAACATTGGAACGTGAAGAAATGGTAGTCGATTTATTGGTTCTTGAATGAGCCGAGGCTTTCTCAAGGACAGAAGTCCGAGGTTGCTTTGATATTGGTTGGTCTCGCGAAAATGATGAGTCAGAAACCTTTTGTGGTCGAGAAATTGAATTGACCACCCGTTGCGAGCTCGAGTGAGTAACATTTAATTGGCGAGTTGAGGAACGTGCGGAGGCATTGTTTACCCTCGTCGAGTATACATTTGTAGAAGATTCGGCACGAGCACGCTTTGTCACTGATACCATTGTTTCAGCCTCATGGACTCGTTTGGAAGCGGGTGTTAATGACATATTAGATCTAGCCAGTGCGGCACTGCGACCAAATGGTGATTGCTGTTGGCAATTTCGGTCAAATTCCCCATTATTTGCCGATGAAATTTTCGTGTCAACGCGCCGCTCACTACAGGACTTTGTGTTGGTTGGAAGGTACTTGAAAGGTAATTCAACTTGAGCCGGAATTCGATTACTGGGTCCACCCGTGGCCAATGAACTCATGGAGCGAAGGTTGCTGTCCCTTGAACCTTGTAGCCAATCCGCTGGAACAGTCATCATAGTAGGACCAGACTCGAGCTGAGTGAAATGAGTACGATGTTCATATGCCCCCGATCTAAGTGTCTTTCTAAGTACTTTCTGAAGTGGTGTTTGTTTAACCCATCCTAACATAAATATATACTTATATTATATAATTATGAAAATTATGAAAATGATTCAACCGAAATCAAAATTACCTCCATAATTTCTCCTCACCGGAGGAAGGTTCAAGTGGTTAATCAATTTGACTTTCCTTCTTTTTTTATCTTCCTGAGTAGATTTTCGTAATCTTTCACGAGCTCTCACTAACCTTTGAGCTTCTTCGAATTTTTGCATCTGTTATATTCAAAACAAAAAAAAATAATTAGAACATTGTCATAAAGAAATAATACACCATAGAAAGATAAATAGTTTTTACAAAAAATAGTGCACGCCAGTCTTGACCTGGTACATTATAATTGCTATAGTTAATGGGGAATTTCACAACACAATGTTTCTTCCACAATTCTATAGATTATAATAAAATATTAATAACCCAATTTTTTTTTTATCATTAAAAATTTGAAAGATAATATTTTACCCATTGTATCGTCCTTTAACCCCTGTTGTGTAAAGTATTTTCAATAAATAAGTAATAATAAAAAAATTATATTATGCATGAATTAAACCTACGGGATTAAGTTTCTCCAATTCTTCTAATTCATCTGGTTCAAGCTTGTCGTAGATTGATTTCATAAGCCAATAAGGAGCCTTTCCGACCTTGCGTAATTCTAAACAAAAAAATCTCGAATTATTGTATTTGCTTAAATATTCTGAACTATAATGTCACTTATGCAAATTAGTTCGTGCAAATACGAAAATCGTAGATATGCAACTTAATATAAAGAAACTTACGTTTACGGTTCTTCATTAACACATCCAAGCATAATTCTTTAAGGTTTTGGACTCTTCCCTTACAATTTGCTCCATCTTTTCTTAGTGCTACAAATTTAAATGAATGCGACTCGGAATCTACATCCACCATACTAATGCGTATATCAGAATTATAGGCAATAGGTGTAATAATTATTTATTAATGTCGATCCCGCGGCTCGCATGTTATTCGTGCTCGAAATTGCAATTAATAACTACCTCGCAAATTATTTGGAAGAGACCTAAATAAGAAATGACTTCATTTAGTAAATCGCCAATGTAATGGCGTGTAAAAGTTATTCACGAAAAACAAAATAAGCGAAGATAAACCTGAAAAGTTCGAAAAGTTCAATAGATTTAAGGGAAAGTTCTAACTGTATAACGACAGTTTATATTTCTCTTGAAAATAGTGCAGTAATGCATTCTTCCGAATGATTACACACGTACCTTTATTTATATATGTGCTGTCCCGTGATCTTCAAAAGTGTCACATAATTACATAATTCCAAAGTTAATTTTTTTGTTTAGCACATAATTTCTCAAATAGTTATTAAAAGGCTAGGCATGTGTGCTTTATTAAACATTTATTATTATATTTTTTTTAAACCTGCAATGGCATATCTTTATAGAGATATTGAAAAATATTATAATGTTTATAGATTTTTATAAAACAATTAACTTATTATTGTATATTAGTAATAGAAGGACTACACTAATAAAAAAATATGAGGAATCCACTAAGCTAGTTTGGACTAAACAAAACTAAGTCTAAATTAGGTACTCTAAGTCAGATTTAAGGAACAATATTATACTTCACTAGTAGTTTGATTAAAATCTCTAATTACTAGAATTATTATCAATAATTTGTCACTATCAATTATCTTGAAAAATAATAAATTACTAAAGTATATTACTTGAAAAAGGAAAAAAGAAATACAATTCAAAACCCTTCAAAAGATTCTTGTTTTATTTTATAGTTTTCTCTTAAAAGGGATTTATCTGATTGAAATATTTATTAAGTTTTATAATATTTAAGAAACTTAATTATTCTTAAAAGTAATTTCAAAAAGAATATTTAAAGAACTTACAGTGTCTTTCTATTGATACAGTATGAGTCATAATTTTTTGAAATTTTTTTTTATTAATTATTCAAGAACGGTTGGACCAATTACAACAAATAACTATCCAATTGAAAGATAAGAATCAATATTTTATTTTATTATAAAGTTTCAATAGTTTATATGATTGCCATTTTTTTGTATTATCTTTTCACATCTTCCTTGCATTGATCTAATCAAATTTTTTAGGGTTTGATCCAGAATTCATTCCCATTCCTTCTTCATAAACATTTCCAACTTTCCCAAATCCCATGACATTCTTTTTTTGACGTTATTTTTTACTATATTTTATATATTCTCAATCAGATTTAGATCGGGACTGTTGGGCAGCCAATCAATGACTTCAGACATGTTTAAATTGAAGTAAAATTTTGTAAGTTTGCTCGTATGCTTCGGATTATTATCGTGTTGAAACCATTATTTTTTTCTAAGCAAGGTCTTGATATCAACTATATTTTTTTCTAGAATATTTATATAAACTTCAGATGTTATTATCTCTCTAAAGCAATATAATTTGGTTTTATTCCATTTATAAAATCCATCACATAAAAGTATTTTTCTTCTATCTTTAGGAATCTGACGAATCAGTTGTAGACCTTTATGCTATTGACCAAGTGTGTTGTAAAAAAGTTGGAAAGCGATCTCATCTGAAAAAAAAGTCTTATTCCAATTGTCATTTTTATGTTTTTTAGTTCAGTCCACCTGTTTTTTTCTTTGAAGTCAAGTAAGCATTGGTACAGCTGCAGGTACATCATTTTGATAGCCAAGGAATTTTAAATACCACATAACAGTCGACTGAGAGATCACATTATCCAATTTTAATACCAAACTTCTTGTAAATATAGTAGGTTCTTTCGTTATGTATTGTCTAATTTGTTGTAATTGTTTATGCGAAACTATTCATGGGTGACCAGCCCCTTTTGAGTGCATTATTTTTCCAGTTATTCTTAATTTTTTAAGATTGTAGTAAATCATGAAGATCAGTATCTTTGTTATGGTATATATTTTTTCTGCAATGTATATACCTTTATTCCAATAATATAACATCAAATCTCTCTGATTGCTAGAGGTGGCTGTAATCATTTCAACTTCATTTTACATCACGGGAGAGGAGATGAGTGACCAAGAATTTGTGAGAAAGTTTATCAAAGATTCATTTCCTTACTTGTAAAGTTTGATAATATTATACTATCTAACTTTAGTTAGTTGCACATATACACATTGCCGACAAATTTTTTTCAAATAATTAATTTACTTAATACTATTGGAGTCAACATCATATTAAAGAAGAATTTGTCTAATTAGGATAAAAAAATTATTTTAAAAACTTAACTTAATCAGAATAAAAACTTGAAGATCTTAGCTTTTATCCAAAAAAACATTTTTACCATCTAAAAAACTTAACAAGTGATAAGAGTTGAATCTTTTTTCCTATCCATTACTTATCTTTCAATATAAAAATTACTTTCTAAAGACTAAATATACATAATTGTATAAGTTGAAAAATATTTATTTAATATAATGCTACTTGTATAATATTTATTAATAAATAAACAATTTAGTATATTAATGATATAAATAAATCATAAATCAATTTCTACTATATAATTTGCTATAAGTAAATCATTAATTAATTTTTACTAATTAATAATTTATTTATGCTAAATTATATAATTTCTATTATATAATTTGATATTATTTGTTATATAATTCATATTATTTTATTATATATTTCATTTAATTTTTTTTCAAAAAATCATTAAACATTTGTCAAAATTTCAATTTTATTAAATGTATATATTTGCTGAATTTTTAGTTACAGTATATATTATATTTATGATTTAAAGAAATTACAATCAAATATTTATAAGAGTTCTACTGATTTAAGGTTTTATATCTAGATGAAATAAAATGTCCAAAAATATTATAAATAGGGATTATATATTTACATCTAACTGGATAAAATTTGATATTACATAATTTAATATTCATATTATTTTCAAATCCAAAATAAAATCTATTTTCTATCAAATTAACTAGTTTGTATTACTAAATAAGAATCAATATTCAATAATATTATTCAGAAAGTTTATCAAATGTATAAAGAAGAATTGAACTTGTCACTAATATAAATTAATATTTCTATCATAATTCACAAATTGAGTTAATATAAATAAGTCCTTAATATTTCATGAGACTATAATAGAATCAAATATTTTACTTTTAATTCAATATCTATTATATTGATCTACTCTATTTTAAATAGTTATTGAATTTTTATTATCTTTTGTAAATAGTCATCGAAAGTCCATAATTTCATAAGATACTTTATAGTATTCAACTAATATACTATATCTGATATTTCAATAAATACATCTAAATTTGATTTTTTTTCAGATATAAGAATTTACCTGAAAAATGTTTGGATCCATTGATGATTGTTTTATAAATATTATATATTTTGTTTAAAATTTGATATAATTTGTCAGTTGAAAACTGATTTAGTTCAAAAATTGAACTGATATTTGATTGATTATTTAAAATTTCAAGCTTCTAATTATTAGAATAGGATATAGTTAGATTAATAATTCAATAATTATTCATCAATTTTTATATTAATTCAAGTTCAATATTAGATAATGAATCTAAATTAAAAATTTTTAGAATCCTACTTCTGAATATTAAATTTGGTTAAAAACTTATCTAATATATTATTTATCCTCTTAAATAAAAAGCATTAAAATACATATAATAATCTATAATCACATGTCATTTATACTGTATAAATATAAAAAAAGATAAAGATTCATAATAATTTTTTCTTTTCTATATTTTCATTTTATTAGTTCAATTATTGCAACTAATCTTTTATAAGTCTTATTTAATGAATTTTATCTTAAAATTGATATATTAAAATTTGACAAATCTCAACAAAATTCATTAAAATTTGACAATTTATATCTGGAAGATATTTTTATATGATAATAGTTACATATATTGTAAAAAAATTTCTTTACTAATTAACAGTAAAGTTCAAAAATTCTTTATCACTATTAACTTTTCTCAAAATTCAGTTAATATCTAATAGAACTTGAAATATTTCTATTATTGATTGTATTTCATCTAATGTATTATTTGTTAGTATCTTTTTTTCAACCCATATTCATTTAATAAGTTATTTTATTTATTTATTTTTTTAAATGCTGATTTTACTATACTTTATTAAAACTCATAGATAAAAGAAATTGTGTTAATTCAAACATTATACATCTGAATTTTCTTGTCTAATAAAGTAAAAATAATAAAAGATCTCCTTTAAAAGTTACTTTACCTTATGACTAGGCCACCTTTTTAAAGACTAGAGAATTAGTTATAGCTCTACTACTACTAAAATAAATTTCAAATATATAAAAGAAAAATAAAAGAAAAGAAAAGTTGTATTCCTAGTTGTGTTTTACTTTTCAGAAAGTTTGTCAAAGTTTAAGATCCACTTGATAAAATTATATTCAATATTTTACCAAACTTCTCAAGCTAACTATTCTTATAAATAAGAGGACAAGACTATACAAGCTTAAATAGAGATAAAGATTTTGCATTACAAAAAAGGTACCGGAAGATTGAGGAAAATGGTTTGATTATATTTGACTATTGTCTATCAGTTCCAATTTCATTTCTTCTATACTCTATTTAGTATGGAATCTTCTG